TGCATTGTGGTAAACTGTGGTCAATGACATGAGACAAAGTATATGTGAACTGCTGTATGGAAAGTGAATTTGCTCTGTAAACCTTCACCCAAATCACAATAAAAAAATAAAATAAAAAAGAATGTCACAAAACAAAATGTGTGGGGATTGCTGAATGGAAAACCAATTTGTTTTGTAAACTTTCACCCAAATCACAATTGGAAAAAAAAAAACGAACCTTTGAGTTGTATTCTTTCCTAGTTTCTATGCCTTCTCTTTTGCAGTCAATTATTATTCCAATTTTAATCTGCTTTGGAATCATAAAATAGATTAATATGCTTATCAGATAACTGAATACAAAAGAGAAAATAGGTTTAGAATAACAGCGTGGATACTCTCATACAAATAAAGTGTCTTTTATCATTTATATTTTAGCTTCTCAGAGGCCTTTTATACTTACTGCCTTATTCTTGGCTATGTTCCAAACAGCTGAGTTCCAGATATGTTTGAAAAAATTGAACTAATCTAGAGTCTCCAGACCCACAAAACTTTACTGCTTCTCAAAAATGCGTTCACCAACTGGTGAATATCAAGAGCCACTGGCTGTCAGGGAAAATTTGGGCAATCTATTCTTCATTCTATCTATAATGCCATTTATATCTAGAAATATTAAACAAAACCTACTTTTTCAGCATTTAGGCATAAACCTCTGAGAAGCTAGATTCTTATATCAAAAATCGTTTCTATGTAGTCAATTCAAACATGTAAAGCATCTCCAAACCAGATATCACCAAGTTACAAGGAGCTAAAGGAATAGATGGGGTTGTAAATAGTATAAAAAGAAACCACAATAAAGAGCAGGAGAACCTACAGCCTTAAAATGAATAAAAGATAGGAAGAGTGGATGGTGAGGAGAGAGGAAAGAAAAGAGAAGAGTGAAGGAGAGGGAGGGAAATATATTTTAAACTTCCATCTGCAAGGAATAATAAACCACACTAAAACAAACTCACTGCTACTGAGTGGAACCCGACTCACAGTCACCCCCTCCTTGGGTTTCCAAGGCGGTATCTCTATAGAAGTAGGAGGATATTTAAATATATATATAAAATTTAAGGTACTAATCATGTTTATTCCTTGAAAGTTTAGAAAAGCCCAGATCTCAAAAGCTAGTATTTCTCTGGATTTTGTGTTAATCAAAACATGATTAGATTAATTGATACATATTTTTACATCTTTTTTTTCCTAATTATCCATTAGAAAATAACTATCAATAAAAACTCAACTTTCAGGAGACTATGTTTTTTTTGTTTTCCTTATTAGTGGGAAATAAAATGTTTCTCATTCGTGCTATGAGTATTGCAAAACCCATTGCCATCGAGTCGACTTCAACTCCTAGTAACACCATATGTTACAGAGTAGAACTGCTCCAGTGGGTTCTCTTGGCTGTAATCTTTACAGAATCAGGTTTCTAGGCCTTTTGTCCATGGCACTGCCTTTAGATCAGCAACTGAGTGCAAACCATTTGTGCCACCCAGGGACTTTAGGTGCAACAAAACCTAATCCACTGCCCTCTCGCTTCAATTCTGACTCAGTGACCCTATGAACTACCCCCGAGGCTTTCCAAGGCTATAAATCTTTAGGAAAGCAGATTGCCTCATCTTTCTCCAAGAGCACCATAATTCCCAAGTCTCCTGAAGCTCCTACGCTTGTTTTTAATGAAATACACTACACTTCATACATACTAATTCTTTGCCTAGGAAAAACAGGTGAAAGAAGAAGAAATAAAAGACTCAAAACAAGAAACAGCTAATCAAATATAGTTTCTATATCCTTCTAATTTCTTTTTACATTCCATAGTCTGTGAAGCTTCTCCTGGCATTTAGTTTCTAAAAACAAGACTTCATTTTAATCATCCAAATTATTCCATTATGAATAAAAACTTTTAGTGATCCTCGCTACCCCTATACTGAGTTAATGTTGTATATATTATCTTAGAAATTTTTTGTTCTGTATTTGAGAGTATCAGTTTTGGTTAATATGTCCCAACACGCAATGGAATGATAAATCTAAACATTTGCAGCTAATTAAAAGTCATTTTTAAATTACTTAATACTAAACTCAAGGAGGGAGCTCTGGTAGCATAGCGTCTAAGACACTTGACTGCTAACCAGAAGGCTGATGGTTCAAACACACCAGCAACTCCTCAGAAGGAAGGTTGAGCAATCTACTTCTGTAGTGATACTGCCTCAGAAACCCAAGGAGGGGTTGCTACGAGTCAGGTCCAACTCGAAGGCACATAACAACAACAAACTCAGGGAAGAATCACTGGCAGAAAAAATAAAAGACAAAGATGTAAAAGAACACAAGTCCATTATTTTACTAAATAAAAAAAAGGCGAAAAATATTTAAGTTGTATGAGAGTATATAATCTGAACAAGTTGACTTTCTGTATGAATATTTAAAGTATTAAAGTTCTGTTCTTCCTTCTTATGTAGCTCCTAACTCACTAAGATCCCAAACAAATAAATATCCTTATTTTTTCCATACTAGTTTCATATTTAAATAGTATCACAGAAAAATCATCATTGATCAATGATATAATCCATTTAACTAATATAAAATCATTAGGAGAACAAACAAGAATACTAATAATTTCTAGTATAAATAAGAGATATTATTTTTAATCATGACAACACTGAATTCTAAAACTCAATAATTTAACATTAGGAGAAAATATCTAAATTCCTTGGGGCCAAGGATCATTTGTTCAAGTCAATGACATTTCCCATGAACCTACTAAACGCCAGTCAACGTCCTAGATGCTGAGATACAAAGATGAATTGTTCTTGTCCTTAAGGAGCTCACCACATAGTAGAAAGTAGCTAAATAAACAAGTTTTTGCAAAGAGCTTTCAGGCAACAACAGCCTAACCAAGGTTCAAAGGTAACAGAGGAAGGACTAAGTACATAAGAGAAATCATAGAAACCTTTAATAATGAGGCAACTCAAGAGTTTGAGTTTTAAAAGATAAATGAGAATTTACTAGGCATGATTAGGTGGTGATTACACAAGTACACACATATGTAAAAATTAATGAAGCTGTACATAAAATTAGTGTACTTTACATGCTTCACCATATTTATGTTTACCTCAATATAAAATAAAGTTCATCTGACAGAGTGGGTAGAAAAGTATTTCAGGTAGAATGAAAACTGTATATACAGACAAAGGTAAGAAACAGTTTGGTGTGACAAGCAACAATTTAATTTGCCACTGAGGGAGATGAGGCCAGAGAAGGAAGCGGCAGACTCATAATGAAAGGCCTTATTTGCCAAGCCAAAGATCTTGGTGGCAACAGAGAAACATGACAGGATTTCAAGTTGGCTGGTGATCTAATGATCACCCAGGCAACACTGCAAAGGGTACACCTACTGGTGATCACTGTATTCAGAGAGATCATTTAGAGGGCTTCTACAAAAGAACAAGCAACAGAGAGTTCAAGGGAAGAGACAAATTTTCTTGAGATACTTTACTATATTTAAATTGAACATAAATTTTTAAATTGTTATTAAATCCTTACAACAATTCTGAGGATGGTATTCCAATCTTGAGTTTATAAATAAAGAAACAGGCTCAGAAACATTTGCAAAATATTTTCACCACACCATGTCACTGAGGGCAGAAAGGATTTTTTAAAAAAATATTTGGGAGGTAAAATCAATAGGTGTTTATGATTATTAGGATATAGCATGGGGTAGGGAATGGTGGGGATAAAGACAAGCAGACACACACACACCCTAAGAAATAATTCTCAGATTTCCACACAACTTACTTGTTGTAGTAGGAAGTGCTATATAATTCCTTTTCAGTATAAATAAAAACTATCTATTCACCTGGATTTCTTCTTTCATTAAGTATGAGAGGCCTACTTCCTCTTCTCCCTCTCCTAATTCTGAGCCTGCTTCATCATCATCGTCATCCTCATCTTCCTCATCTTCCTCCTCCTCTTCCTCATACCCTTCAGGTGGACCAGCTTCATCTTCTTCTTCATCCTCATCATCTTCATCTCCATCTTTAAAAATATTTTATAAGATGAGAAAATGGTTGGGCAAATATATCTTGCTAGTATGCTGATCCTTTTTACCCCTGCCGTAATCACATCAACCTCTTAAGCCAGTAGGTGGAAAGTATCTTACGGTGATTTTCTTTAAAGATTTCCATTTACAACACTCATATTTACTACTTGAGAAATACGACTTCTAAACTGGTATTTTTCCAATGTATGGGTGTTCATCAAAATACTATATGCACTAACATTCATTTTACTTTGTACTTTAAAACCTGCTTATCTATCCTTTATATATTGTTTATCCATCAAATTTCTTTTTACAGTAAAAAAATTTATAGCCAATAATAACAAGCAGTGTCCCATTACAAAATTCAAAGTGATTTTCTTTGAATCTCTTGAAATCAGCTGTTTTGTCATTTGATCTGTCATGTATTTATCAAGCAATGTGTATTCACTATCTAATGCCAGAACAATTCTCATCACCATAAAAGGGAACCACATACCTATTAACAGTATTTCTCCATTCTCCCTTTCCTCCAGCCTCTGGTAATCACTAATTTACTATTTGATTCTATGAAGTTTGCTATTCTGGATATTTGATATAAATAAGAAATCATACAATATGTATTTGTTTCTGTCTGGCTTCTTTCACTTAGCATAATGTTTTCAAAGTTTATCCATGTTTAGCAAATATCATTACTTCATTCCTTTTTCTTACTGAATAATGTTCTATTATATGGCTATATCACAATTTGTTTATCCATTCATCAGTTGATGAACATTTGGTTCTACTTTTTGGCTATTATGAATAACACTGCTATGAATTTTTTTTTTCAAAGTACTTTATTAAAAGTCACACTTTTATGTATGATGGTTATATAAGTATATACAGATGTAAAAACTCATATATCTTGGTGTAATAATACTTATTAAATCCCTTGATATATTCAGAAGTCTGAAAGAAGAAATAACACAGCAAGGGCTGTGGGTTTTTTAATTTTTCTTGTCTTACTAGTATCTTGTTTATTTTTTTCACACCTCCAAGTCCAATCTAATTTGCCTGGCTCGAGTGGAGGCTATAATTATGACACATTCATGAGTATTAAGAATGATTACCCTCATCATCCTCCTCTTCAGATGCTTCAGGTGCTTCATTATCCTCCTGATCAAATCCATCTAAGTATGTAATTTGCTGCAGCAGTTCAAAAATACTTTCTCTATAATCTTCTAGGTTTGTGATCTCACAGTTAAACAAGTCAAGACTTTTCAAATTTTTAAGATTTTGCTGTAAAAGGAAAGTTAAAATTTACATCTAAGACTTAAAATATCATGTTATTTCTCAAATTCCTGAACTAAAAATATGTATTTTAAATCAGGAGAATGATTTTCAGATTTTTAGAATTTTATAATGAAGGATTACTGTATCAAGCACAGCCAACCCTCTTAATTAGCCCCTGGCATATCAACTCCACAGGAGCTCTGGTAGCATAGTCCTAAGGCGCTTGACAACCAGAGGGCTGGTGGTTCAAACCCACCAGCCACTCCTCGGAAGGAAGGTTGGGGAATCTACTTCCATAGTGATACTGCCTCGGAAACCCAAGGAGACTCGACAGCACCTAACAACAACAACATACAAACTCCACAAGAGTAGGAACTTTGTTTTGCTCACTGCTATAACTCCAACACCTGGCTTAGTACCGTACTTACAGTAGATAAAACAAACAAACAAAAAACCACTGCCGTCAAGTCAGATCCAACTCATAGCGACCCCTCTTTGGGTTTCTGAGGTGGTATCACTATGGAAGTAGACTGCCCAATCTTCCTTCCAAGGAGTAGCTAGTGGGTTTGAACCGCCAGCCATCTGGGTAGCAGCCAAATGCCTTAGGCACTACGCCACCAATATAGTTTTCCTGTCTGAATCTGTGCATAAAGAGGCAATAAGAATATTATGGCTACTTTCAATCCCAGACAAGTTTATTTTCAATAATTTCAACCTCCTCCCAACCTTTTTTATAAAAATTAGAATAATAACTTTCACAGTTTAGTTTTATTTGCTTTTTTTTTTCCCTTATAACAGGAAACAAGGGAAGAAGTAATAAAATAACAAAAAATAAGCAAATAGGAAAAGAAGCAGAAATTAAGAAAATAATGGAAACGTAAAACTCAGATATTCAATGCCTGAAGTTGATGATAAATTTCTCACTGATCTGAAAATTTCTCTGGATAGTTTACCTTAAAAGAAAAGAAGAGGTAACTATCTATATCACAGCATATAAGACATTCATAAATCTCAAGAGTTAAACAGAAATTGGTATGACAAAATACAAAAAAAAATTCCAGAAATTTCAACCACAAAAGCAAAGCCAGAAACAAAAATCTCTGTCACTTACCAGAGCTTCTACTGTACTGAGATCTTTGATTTTGTTTCCACTCAGATTGAGGTAGGTAAGATTTGGACATTTCTCTGCCAGGACTTCCAAGCCTCCAGAAATACTATTGTTACTAAGTTCTAACTACATATTCAACATGGAGAGAAAATAAAGAATAATGAAGACTTAAGGTGGATCAAAGAAAATATATCAATTTAAAGAAGACAAGCAATTATCTTTCTTCTCTTTAGCTTTACGATACTAATACTACATTAATTTCCATATTCCCACCTAAATCCCCCAAATAATATACTAGAATCCCGAAAGGGCTCCTAACCCAAGTTTGGTTCCAGTTATGTTGCACTTAGATTCTATGTTTCAGAGAAAAACATTTGGTAGATGCTAAATCCAAATCCATGTCATACAGAGATTCCACCATTAAATTTAAATTTGTAAAAACAATACTAGAACTGATTCTAAAATTCTATATAATGCTTTTCTATCTCTAGAAACTAAGAAATTCTAATCAGTTGATGGAATAGTTGTTTCATTTAGCCAAAACCTGACAAAGTAGTCCATGATGCCTATACATGTAAAGTCAACTTACCTTCCGAAGTTTATTTAAGCTGGGAAGTCGCGCCAGTGAACTTAGCTCCACATCAGCCATACTCAGAGACTCTAGTTCTTTAAAAGTATCATTCAGGCCCTCAATTTCCCCATTGACACACCGGCAATTATCAAGGACTAGCTCTGTCACCTGTAAGAAGAAATGCATTGATGACACTTTAGGCTGCAGTCTGTTTAGCCGTGAACCTAAATCCTAACACTCTAAAAATATGAATATCCTTTTCATTTCAAAAAAAAAAAACTATCTAAAGTCATCACTGGGAGCTCTGGTAGCATTGTGGCTAAGACACTTGCCTGCTCACCAGAAGGCTGGCGGTTCAAACCCACCAGCCACTCCTCGGAAGGAAGGTTGGGCAATCCTACTTCCGTAGTGATACTGCCTCGGAAACCCAAGGAGGGGTCGCTATGAGTCAGGGCTGACTCACGGCACATAACAACAACAACAACAAAGTCATCACTATGGTCAACTTTTTAAATTTAAACTTCAACTAAGAAGTTCAGTGTCTGCTTCAAACCACTGAGGCATAAAAAAGAAAACTTAAAAAAAAATCCCATGTGAAACCTGTTTCTGACCCTCATGGTGTTGAGAATGACCCTCAACATCAGGACACATGTTGATGCAGTGAGGGGACACCTGTGCTACTTTAGAAGGGATTCACATAAGGTGCTAAGTCAAGGAGAAAAGAAACAGTTTCATTATCCATTTTTTCAGTTTTCAACTTCTTTATCTTTAGTTGATAAATGCCATCAAACCTCAAAAAAAAAAAAAAAAAATGTAACCCTTATGGAACATCCCAGCTTTTGGGTGTTATTTGTTCTAATATTGAGGCCAAAACAATATCAGCCAGAACATTATATCCTTGACAAAATGTTATTTCTCCCTAACATTCTGGTAGGATTTCTGTGGACTTTTTTTTTTTTCCATTCTTGGAGGGGAGAGGAGCACTGGATCCCCTAGTGAGTTAAAGTTGTAGTAACAGAACTTCCTTGTGTAGGCCTGAATGGACTTAATCTTAAGGAGGACACAGGACACCCTGGTCTGTATCCCCAATGTGAAAACTACATTTGAGGTATCTAGAAGGCTAAAAATTATCAATAAGGAATGTCACCTTCCCCATTTGAATATAACTTTGACATAACTATTTCGGTGACCAAAGAAAGCATCATGATCTCCCACATAGACATGAGGAAACTAAGGCCCAGATGATAGGCACGATTTGCCTAGGGTCACACGATTAGTATGTGGCAGAGCTGTGCCTCCTTTAAGTCTTATGACTCCCAATCTAGCAGAGTGGTGAAAGGGCCACTAGGTTTGGTGTCAGAAAATCAGTTCTATCACTTAAGTAAATCACTTCACTGCTCTGAGACTTCCTTTCCTAGTTTGGATTCTAGCAATTCACACTACAAGTTTATCCCAAAGAGTAAAGTAAGTAACAAACATGAAAAGTGCTTTGTAAACTGTCAAGAGCTTCACAAATATGAGACCATTATTACACCACAACGGAGGTAGAGTCTGCAAAAGGGCACTCTCTCCTGCACTCCCCAAATTGGAAATGCAGCAATTAAACTACTATGTAAAGGAATAAAGGGTGAGGACCAAGTCCATTTTTTCCAACCCAAGACATAAAAAAAGCATTCTACGTGTGCTTCTGAGAGACAGCTTTTAAGTTTGTTTTGCTTTTCCCTGGAGCCCCTAAAGAGCAGACTCTAGGAAACTTCAAGTCCTCAGTGGGATGATGCTGATAGCAGCAACTGTTTCCTCCTCCCCGCCCTCTACCAGTTTCAGGGAAAGACACTTAAAAAAAAGAAAAGAAAGAAAAAGTACATAAATATTTTGAGTTTCCATTCGGCACGCTGCAGCCCACCGCCAGAGTCCTACTCGTCCCCTACGGTGCACGGGCACCACCCCCATCCGTTAAATAAAATAGATCTCCCAGATTCCAATTCTAAGGCTCTTGACACTTTTTCTTGAAACCTGAAATCCGAGTCTCCTCACGGGCCGCGGACCCCGCACACTCTCCGGCTGACAGGGAACCCCACAGCAGGCGGGGACGCCCCAAGGAAAAAAGGGGTCGTCTGCCGGGCCTCCCAGAGCCGGGAGGGCTGGGGGAGGCCGAGGGACACCCTCTCGTAAAGGAACCCGGAACACCTCCCGCCTGCCCCCCAAAGCTGACGACTCCGCCTCACGTGGCCCCTCCCAAACCCGTCTCTTTAACTCAGGCGACAGTAACGGGAGCGCATCATTTAGTTTCGCCGGACCCATCTTTTAAGATACAAAACTACTATGACCCATTTGCTGAGTTTTGTGAAACCGTCCCCAGGGATCAGATTCAGAGTTGCGGCCACTAAGACATCCACCGACAGCATTACCTCGCGGTGTAAAAGCCGAGGGTGTCTTCCTACCTTTGGAGGGAAAAAGGGGATTCTGCCTCACGGCCCGTCCCGACCTCTGGTTACTGCGACGAGTCCCGAAACTTACCCGCGGTCGGACAAACCCGCGACTGACCCAGATTCCGCCTGGCGGCGGTCGGAGCGCGCCGCTTCCCAGGGAAGTGGGAGCCGCCAGGAGTGGGCTGTCCGCGGACCCTGCGAGGGACCCCAGCCCGCGCCCAGCGCTACGTCTGGCGCCGAGCGGCCTCGAGGCCGGGGCGTGGGTCCCTTCACCCCTCTGTCCCCGACCCTAAACGAGTTGGCAGCACTGCAGGAAAGTTAGACTAACTTCCCAGGCGGCGACGCCTGTGGCAGGGGCGAGTGGATCGGGGGTAGCGCCCACGCCGCTGGCCTTCAAGTGCAGAAGGCGGGGAGCGAAACGGCAGAGAGGCCCCCACCACCCCGCTTCCCCGCCCCCATGAGCAGGAAGCCCAGCTCATAGAGAGTCGAAAGGGGCTAAGCCCCTATGCACAAAAAGGCCCCTAGAAACTTAAACCCTTCGCCATTTTAAGAAGAAGATTTTAATGATTTAAAACTTAAAATTAAACACTTCCTCTAACCCTAACCCCAAGTAGGGGTTAATTTATTACGCCTCCCCACACACCCAAACAGACCCCCAGAAATCCGACCCTCTGAATATAGGGTTGGTGGGGAAGGGGAGGGGGCTGAGTCATCTCACCTCCTCCGGGGCTTTGTTCCTTAACTCCAGGTTAATCCTCTTCTTCATCTCCATGTCCTCCACCTCCTCTTCTGCCACTAGTCTCCTCCCTTCCCCTTTCCTGCCTTTCCCTCACAACCCCCAACCCTAAAATTTAAAAAGGTTTGAAAATGAATGAAAATAAACGCAAATATAACGCCCACCACCACCAAATAGGTGTGGGGGGAAAAAAAGAATAACAAATGGAGTCCAAAGAGTTGGTACTCTAACTCGGCTGCCCCCACCTCCTTGTCCACACACTCGCGCGCGCGCGCACACACTCACGCACACACACACTCACACACCCGCAGTTCCTTCCCCTTCAATGGCTGCTCAGAGACTGAGCCTCCATGACACGGCACCGCCAACCCCCTGGCCTACACTCCACCCACCTCCCGAACGTATTGGTTGCTTCTTCAGCATTGCACTACTCCATTGGACTATGTAATTGTCTATCGGCTTTCAGGGCGGACCTGGACCAGAAACTCTGTGTCTATTGGCTAAGAACAAGCGCGCAGTTAACTCCGATAGGCCCAGGAGAGTGTCCGTCCTGGGAAAATGATTTTGAATCCCAGTAGCCCCCCTCCTTTTCTTTGTGTGGTTGGCGCGCTTTCCCTAGGCGCTCGTACGGTTTTGATGCCTGTTGGATTCGTTGGGTTGTTTTTTTTCTTCTTCTTTTTCTTTCTGTTTTTAGTGTAAAAGGTGGGGAGCAAGCATCCTATCCCAAGCTGCCAAGAGGGATAATTCAACACACACGCACCGGCCCTGGGTCTTTTTAAAGCACAGGCCCGGCTTTTCTGCCAAAGTGCACACACCAACGTGCACATCACATTAAAAGCATGCCTTCGTGGCATTCCTGCCCGGGACAGACTTCCCACAGAGATTGACCTTCCGTGGTGCAGAACCAGAAGCAGGATATAGATGGTATTTTAAATTCCATCATGAAGGACTGTCCGGTTTTGAAAATAGTAGGGTGAATAAAAACTAAGGTAATTGTTGTTGTGGGAGCTCTGGTAGCATAGTGGCTAAGGCACTTGACTGCTCACCAGAAGGCTGGCGGTTCAAACCCACCAGCCACTCCTCGGAAGGAAGGTTGGGCAATCCTACTTCCGTAGTGATACTGCCTCGGAAACCCAAGGAGGGGTCGCTATGAGTCAGGGCTGACTCGACGGCACATAACAACAACAACAATTGTTGTTGTAATGACTGGCACCTCGAAGGTGAAAGAACGCTGGCCTTATGAAAATCAAACATCAATTTGCACAGAAATGGCTTTTCACTGCCTCTCCTAATTTCCTTTTGCTTAGTTTCCATGGAAATCTGTAGGTAAAGTGTGCTTTTAAAAGTCTATGAGGAATGTAAGAGTGGAATAACAATGCTTTATTTATTTATTTATTTATTAAGGATCTAATTTTTCTTGTTCTTGCTTAAATTCTATCTTTCTCTTTCGCTTACACCCTTCTCAACATAAATACCCAAAGAAGTTCCAGACGATTTGGGGCGGGGGGGCGGGGGTGGGGAGTGATGCATTAGCCCCAGGCCTTCCATGGCTGAGTTTTTATTTGCTATTTTTCCAGTTTCTCAGGTTAGAGACCTTTGGCTTTCCACACATAAACATACACATAACACTCACCACTCCACCAGGGGAGCTCTGGAGGCGTAATGCCTAAGGCATTTGACTGCTAACCAGAATGCTGGCGGTTCAAACCCACCAGTCACTCCTCGGAAGGAAGACTGGGCAATCTACTTCTGTAGCGATACCTCCTCAGAAACCCAAGAAGGCGTCGTTCTGAGTCGGATTCGACCATTGCTGGCGGTGAGTTCACTGCACCACAGGCCTTCTTCCCCCACACAGAGATTAGCAGCTCTTCAAATAGGCTTACATTTAAAATGTAAATATTTTGTATTTGGCATGTTAAATACTTCAAAAGGAACACAAAAGAGTGATTGCCTTTTTAATGATAAATGCTTTCTTTGAAGTCCCTGGGAAAAAAAGTGTGTGAAGGTGAAAACAGTTTCTTGTAAAGACGGAGAAATGGAGATTCTTAGGGTATAAAATGACATCTCTGGGGACCATTTGGAGAGTTAAGGTTTGTATTTGTTTGCTTAATACAAGCTAAGAGAAGCCAAGATGATATGAAAACTGAACCAAAGTGGCTGAGGAACAGTTCAAGGAAGAATTAAAAAGCAAGGGAAGAAAAGAGCTACAAGAAACCCGGATGCACATTTTAGTACCAGAAAGGGAATAGGCAGTCCTGAATTCTGACCCACCTGCTGCTGCCTTACCCTGTTTTTGGCAAACTGCTTAACTTCTCTGAGTCTGGAACAGAATCCGAAAGAAGAGTTCAGGGAAGGAAATACATATTTAGGAGCCATCCACGTACAAATGACAGTTAACACCACGACAAAAAAGTAAGACCTCCACAGAGAATGTATATAATAAGACTGTCAGGCCAAGGAGAGTGAAAACATGGTTGAGAAGAAAGAAGAGGGTGGAGGTATTGTCTGCCAAAGTAGTCAAGGAAAGTGATAGAGAAGAGGGAGGTTAATTAAAAGGAAAAAAAAAAGTTATGGAAGCCAAGGAGTTACAGACTAAAACCAAAACCAAACTCACTGCCATCCAGCCCATTTTGACTCACAGTCGCACTAAGCACACCACCAGAACTCCTTAGGAGTTACAGAAAGAGATGGTTATTGGGGTTAGATGATAAGGCTTTTGCACTGGATTACAGCAGACAGAATGAGAAATATGCCGGAGGTAAAGAATGTGGGAAAGATTAAGTCTTTTACCCTTTTGGATTTAAGTCTTAATCTTTGAAGGAGCTCTGGTGGCGCAGTGACTAAGGCATTTGACTACTAACAAAAGGTTGGTAGTTCAAACCCACCAGCCATTCTGAGGGAGGAAGATGAGCCAATCCACTTCCGTAAAGATTTACTGCCTCAGAAACCTAGTGGGGATCACCATGAGTTGGAATCATTCAATGGCAGTGAGTTTGGTGGGTTTATTCTTTTAAAGCTATTTTAATAAGGTTTGGTTGAAGAATTCTCTGTGTTTAATTGAAAATTTCAAGTAATTATAAGTAACCAAGATTACAAACTTCTTTTAAGGCAGCTATTGTGTTCAATTTAACTTCAGCTCAGTCAAACCAATGGCCCCCACAAAATACCAAAAACAAAGTCTTAGTAAATCAGAGTTGAATGTGATCCTACTGAAATATGTTGAAGTTTGATAGAAAGTGCAAAATGGTCCATTTAATTAAGATTTTCCCCTGCTTAGTAATTTGAGCTATTTTGACAAGAAGAAGGGAAAAAAATCAATACTCTATATTAGAATAAATTTTTTTAATATTATACTTTCTCATAAAATGATTACTTTTAAATGTATAAGTACATTTACCACGTTGTATAACCATCACAGAGTTTACTTTTAATGTGTGTCTTTGAAGAACTTACTACAGTCACTAATGTAGACTTTATTCGCCTTTAAGCTAAATTTTCCCCAAAATGAATATACCTCTCACATTATATTAAAAGTCCACTAGAAGTTATGATTCATTGTACAGAAATTTAACCATAATACAAGTGATTTTATTTCTGTGTGATGGCTGAAAGGTGATGAGGGAGAGAAAAATCTGAATTTTTGTCTAGTTGTGTGATGCCAATTATAGAGACCTTGGTTTATCTCTCCGAAGAGAGAAAAGAATGACAACTCATGAATATACCATTGGAGGAATGTAATCTTTATGGAGGGTAAATACAGCAAGAACCCTAAAAAGTATATACCCTGAATTAAAACAAAAATGAGATATTACTACACATCAATTAGAAAGGTACTTTAAAAAATAATAATAATACCAAGTGTTGGCAAGAATGAGAAGCAACTGGAGCTCTCATACATTGCTGTTAGGAATGAAAAACAATACAACCACTGTGGAAAAGAGTTTGGCAATCCCTTACAAAGATAAACATACACTAACGTATGACCTACCAATCCTACTCTTAAGTTTTTACTGAAGAACAAAAATGTGTCCACTCAAAAAAACTATACTCAAATGTTTATAATGGTTTTATTCATGATTGCTGAAAACTAGAAACAACCCACATGTTCTTCAACTGGAGAATGGATAAACAAACCAGTACATACATACAATGAAAAAACTCAGCAATAAAATGGAGCAAATTCCTGATATCCAACAACATGAATGAAAGCTATGTTAAAGAAGCCAGACTCATACATACTATAAATTCATATATAAGACATTCTGGGAAAGACAAAATTATAGGGTCAGAAGACAGAACAGTAGTTACTGAAGGATGGGTGTGGGAAGAGAGGTTGATTACAAAGGAACAACAGAGAATTATGGAGGGGTGATGAAAGAGTTCTGTATCTTGACTGTAGTGATGATTACATGACTGTGTTTGTCAAAATTCATAGAACTATATACTAAAAAGTGGATGTTACTGTGTAAATTTTACCACAATAAACCTGACTCTCTTTTTTTAAATTATTTTATTGTGATTTGGGTGAGGGTTTACAGACCAAATTCATTTTCCATACAGCAGTGCATATACATTTTGTTTCATGTCATTGACTGTAATTCCCCACAATGTAACAGCTCTCTTCCCACTTCCTCCCTATAGTTACCTCTTCCCTGTGTCCTTCCCTCCCATGCACTCCTGCTCCCCAACCCCCAGCTGTCTCTCTGTGCGGACACTGCCTTTCTGTTCTCCCAGGATTGGATTGATCACTCCAAGGAAGGTATCTCTCCGAGTGGTTGACAGTGGTAGCCGGGGCACCATTTACTTCTTCTGGTCTCATGGTCATATAGTTTGAGGACTGCATGGTCTGCCAGTCCCTTGGACTAATTGTTTCCACACATCTTGCATCTTTACTTTTCTTCATTCTTCTTTGCTCTGGACAAGGAGAGACCCATCATTGCATCTAGATGGCTGCTTGCAAACTTTTAAGACCGCAGTCACTACTCACCAAAGTTAAACCTGACCTTTTATAATAAAAAGGGTTTTTTGGAAAAAAAAAAAAAAAGAAGATTCATCTGTAATTTTACTTCTAGGAATTTATCTGAAAGAAATAATTGGACAAGTGTGTTAATATATATGAATGAGAATATTCTAACTGAAGTTTGAAAACAACAGTCCAAATACAGTGAATTGATTAAATATAAAATATAATAGGTTGCTTCTATACGGTACTATGTAATCATTAATTTAATGACATGGATATATATTTATTGACATAGAAGAATGTTCACAAAATAGTGTTAAGAAAACAAGTTATAGGCTAATATGTATATAATGTAATCTCA